TGATCTAAGTATGCAAACAAGTTGCACAAGTAAAAATGTATTTGTTTGAATATGGAGGTTGTTCTATATCTATTATTTATGTAATTGTTTGATCAATAAATGTAAGATGAAATGCCCGTGATAGTAGAAATGTTATGTAATAAATTAAAATATATGAATCTATTAAGTAGTGTCAATGGTAGGAAAAATGTTGTTCTCTTAGAAGATTCAAGTTCATACTGTTATTATATCTGTAGGATGTATAACTAATGTTTTTTAAAATATTATCTCGTAATCACTATAAATTAATTAAAAAAAACCAAAACTAAACAAAAAAAAATTAAATTTTACGAGTTGCAACTGGAATGTAATTATGGCTGAACAAGATTAAGCTATTATCCAAATGTTTCTAATTAATTACTTAAATCCAGATCAAGCTGCATCCGGTCCAACCCAATAACTTCTATTATATTAATGGTTTAACTAAAATAATATATTTTATTATCAATTAATAATTTAGATCTAGTCAAAGCATGATATGCCATGGTTACATGAAATTAAAAAAGGTAAATTACACCGTTCCTCACTAAATTTTACTGTCTCTTATTTTGCTCACCGTACTTTCAATTTTTTTATTTTGCTCACTCAACTTTACAGATTGAATTGTTTTGCTCACTCTGTTGTTAACTCTCTAACGGTGTGATGATGTGGCACACGCATAAAAATGACGTCGTTTTGAAAAACTCAAATATCCACCAAAACTATGTCATTTCGAGTCTTCTTCTTCCCCATTGCTGCCGCCGGCCACCACATCATTTTTTATTCCGACCACCGTCAACTGTCGTTGAAGGTGGTTGTTCGGTCCCAAAATTCATGGGTCGGTTTGTCTCGACCCCTGAGTCTGAATCTGACGATTGTTTCATCAGAAAATGTCCCAAAATCCATGAATATTGACTGAAACGTTTCGTCTTTCCACTTTCAATCTCTGATTCATAGACTTCGGAGACAAAATGGAGGTCGGATTCGGACTCAAGTTGTCGAGGTGAAGCGACCCATAAAATTTGGGATCTAATGGTCACCATCTATGGCTTTTTTTTTTACCTATAGCGGCGTTTTTAAGCGCCGCTAAAAACACCTTTGGCGTTATCACAAAAGTAGTAAAAAGCGCCGTTAAAAATAGCACCACTAAAGTTCACGGCATTTGGGGTTAAAAAACGTAGCAATATGTAACTATATATAGCGGCGTTTGTGCTTTGATATTTAGCGACGTTTTTCCTACAAACGCCGCAATAGGTGTTAAGATTTAGCGGCATCTTGCACACAAACGCCGCAATAGCTATGTTCTTTAACAGTGTTTTTTTCCATAACCGCCGTAAAATGCTTATGTATATAGCGGCGTTTTATGGATACAAACGCCGTTAAATATATGGTATATAGTGGCGTTTTTTGTTATAAACGCCACTAAAGAACACAAAATTTAAACAATTTAAATATTTTATTCGATTACCCCAAATCTATTTTCTTCAACCTGTTCCAATAATCCAACAAACTTGACATCAATAACATCAAACTCTATATCCATAAATCAAATCTAATATAATAAATAAAATTTTTCATTAACGTAATATCAGTTCAGTTAAACAAGGTTCAATAACATTAACAGAATGCTATAACATAAATGAGACTATGATGGTGGATTCTGAGATTGCGTTTTCTGTTAAAGAGGTAACGGCAGAGTGAACAAAATGATTCAATATGTAAAATTTAGTGAGCATAACAAAAAATTAAAAGTACGATGAATTAAATAGAAGATAAAATAAAATTCAACGAGAAACGGTATAATTTTCTTTAAAAAAACAATAACGTGAGACAACCTAACATAACACTAAGTAGATACATTGCAATAAAGTGAAAATCATATAATAATTGAGCTCTATTAATTAATTAAGCTTTTCTGCTCCACTAATTAATCTTCCAAGTTCCAACAATTGTACCTTCCCTTGTACACAAGCATGGCATATCCCTTTTATATTTCTGAAACCAAATAGACAAATTTATTATCCAATGTAAAATCATTACTCAAATTAATAAAATCACGGTATTTTTACCCAAAAATCACACTCACATGTTTTAATTATCTGTCAAATATTATTTTATAAAATTTTATCGATATAGCATTCTCGGTAGAAAGCATCCTCGTCTTACGTTGATGTGTCACCACTTGGGATAACGCAATGGATGCTAAATTCGTAAAAAAAATTAAAACGGTATTTGACAGATAATTAATTTATGTTTTGGTGATTTTTGTGTAAAAACTCCACGGAATATTAAGAAAATAAATGTGTTTTGTTTGTTGGAAAAAAATAAAATTTAATTAGCCAATTATTTTCATTTACTGTCTTCTGAAAAATTAAGTCATGAACATAAAGAAAATCATGTGTCTTTCACACTTATCATTTCTTTTAAATAATTATTTTTTCTTTTCTTAATAAAATTTTTCATTAAATCCTTGAAATAAGATAATAAAATTCATTTTTTTCTTCAATAATAATAATAATAATGAAAAATAGTGTCAATAAACTTTGTCTCGTCTCTTGATTTTGTCATTATTTAACCAATATTTTGTGTTGAATATGTTTTAAAATTTAATTGAGCTTCAAAGTTATTCTTAGATAAGTTGAGATAATATATATATCGAATATACAATTCTTATAAATATATATTTTAATATGTTTATGATACGCTCATTGAATGTATAATTAGTAAATTCTTATAAACCACTACTGGTTTAAGGGGATACGATGTTTAAAGGGATGACACACATTTAAAGGTTCACTAGCATGAACTCATTAAATTTTTATTAATGTGCGATGCCAGTAACATAATACAAATTAATGACTCAATTATCAAAATAAAATGAATTAAAAATATAATAATAAAAAATAAATTTTTAAAAAATCAATGATGAAAATAAAACATATTAAAATATTTGGTATAATTATAACTCATGTATTTTCAATTATTATATTAAAAATCAATTATAAATTATGATAAAATATTTTTCGTTATTATCATTGTCATCGACCAATTAATGGAGTATATTTTGTGTTATAATCCAAATTAATCATTTATTCTGCTATTATTCAAATTAATTAAGAAAAATTATGATAAAATATTTCTAAAAAAAGCATAAATACATACATGAAAATCTAAAGATTTTTTTGTCTTTTGTATTATTCTCTAAACTTGTAATAAAATTCAATAAAAAGAAATACTAATTATAAAATATTTATTATTATTACTATTAACATCATCATCATCATCATTTTAAATTATAATCTTTTAAATTATAATTTTTTAAATTAAAGAAATACAAAATTCAATAAGTTTTTAAATTATAAAATATATTTTATTATTATCATCATCGTTTTGAAAAAGAAATATTAATTATAAAACTTTTTATAAAATTATTCATATTTTAAATTACTTACCCTCAAAGTTTTCCTAAACTAGACTATACGTATAGGATTTTGAAATGGTTAAAAATGTATTAGAAAGTGCAAAATGATAATTGATAGACATAATTGTATATCAAAATTTATTGAGTTATAAAATAATTTGAAAAAACAGATTTAAAGATTTTTATACACAAAAAAAACATGAAAGAAAGTGTGTTTCTACCTAAAACTCACTCTAACAGAAATTAATTACTTGTTATATATCATTTTAAAATTTTTTACGAATGATGCCATATAAACGTAAAACGCAAATCATCATTTTGTATTTCTGTAAAAAAAAATGTTAAATCGATAAAAAAATTAAAATAATATCTGAAAAATAAATAAAATATATCAGGATAATTTTTGGTTAAATACGCCCCCCTACACTTACCTACCAAAAAATAATAATAATGAAAATAGAAAAATTTAAAGGGCATCGCAAACGAGAAGCATCTGACTTGTCTGTCTGTCACATTTGACTAAGACAAATTAAAGTGCATTCCCATCAATATGCATTTGCTATGTCTGGATCACTTTGCTTCGCCTTTTGGTAATTGTAGGTGAATAATATTTATTTCAAAATTAATTATCAGAATCATATTTAAAAAATTATTTAGAGAAATAGTATTTTTCTCAGTTAAATAGAATAAATTGCATTTAATTATACATGCATTTATCTACGTAACATAATATGTTAAGATCTCTTTGTGCTTATTATTTTTTTATCTTCTTTCACTCAAATCAAAATAGATGAATCGTCTATAATCGTCGTAATTTATTTTATTCGTCAACAAACTAAAGTATATACTCATATTATAACATAAGATGATTTTGATAACTAAATATACAAGTCATGGAAAAAGGAAAAAGGAAAACATTAACCGAAGATTTAGATTACCAACAAAAAAATTGGAAGGTTGAAAACATAAGTTGAAAGTAGATGAAGCTTAATAATGACTACACATTAGGTGACAAAATAGATAAAAAGAGAATAACAAAGCATATAACCCAATGTCGTCGGTAAAAGACATCATCATTCACCGACACAATACATCCTCTTCGATTTCTTTTGCTTCTTTTATACCATATCAGCCCCTGTATCAATGGCGGATGCACTATACCTCGTAGGTTAAAAATTAATTAAATTTAATTTAATGTACTATCATAAAAAAATTGTATATTCATTATTTTTAAAAAATATATTTAAATTTTAAACTTTTATTTTTAACCATTAGAAGTTGATAAAGTAAACCATTGCTGTAAATTCATAAATCAACAACAACTAGAAGACAACAGAGCTTATATAAGACATTGTTCTCTCTCTCATTTTTATCAAGCTTTTTTTCTTTCAACTTGTTTATTGAAATTGTCCTCCCTTTGCTTCCTTATTTTCTTTTGAGTAATGTACCTCTTCCTCCATTGTTTTGCTTGAACCAGAAGTAAATTCTCAAAGCAAAAAAAAAAAAAAATCTTTCTTTGTTCCAAGGAATGTACTTCATGTCTAAGTAGATCTTGTGGGCTGTTTTCAAAATCTGTGTCTAATCATCTTCCAAAATTGTTTTGTTTTTTCAATTCGAGTTTTTGCTCTAGAAAAAGTTATCGAAATGGATCGGCTTTCTTCAACAACTATTGTACCGGACACATTCCAAGGGACGAGAGATGATTTGTTGATGCAAATGGGATTGATTTGGAGCCAAATCAAGGCGCCATTGATAGTGCCGTTGTTGAGGCTTGCGGTCATCGTCTGTTTGATAATGTCTTTGATGCTTTTCATCGAGAGGGTTTACATGGGGATAGTCATTGTGCTGGTCAAACTCTTTGGTCGAAAACCAGAGAGAAGGTACAAATGGGAACCCATTAAAGACGATGTTGAGTTGGGGAACTCAGCTTACCCCATGGTTCTGGTTCAAATCCCTATGTACAATGAAAGAGAGGTCAAACCCCCCTTCTCATTTTGTTCCGTACATACACATATATGTATTGAAGATTTGGTAATAATTCATGTTTCTTTTTTTAAGGTTTATCAACTGTCAATCGGAGCTGCATGTGGCCTCTCTTGGCCGTCTGATCGGATCATCATTCAAGTCCTTGATGATTCAACTGACCCAACAATCAAGGTATTGTACCACTTTCAGACCAACAAAAAAAATGTTAAATTATGGTTGTATTCTTACTGAATTGGGTTTGTTGCATGGAAATGAAGGATTTGGTGGAGTTGGAGTGCCAAAGATGGGGGAGCAAAGGCATAAACATAAAGTACGAGGTCAGGGACAACAGGAATGGGTACAAAGCGGGGGCTCTCAAAGAAGGGATGAAACACAGTTACGTCAAACAGTGTGACTACGTTGTGATTCTCGATGCCGATTTTCAGCCCGAACCCCATTTCCTATGGCGGACCATTCCTTTCCTCCTCCACAACCCCGTATTAGCTCTGGTTCAGGCCCGTTGGAAATTCGGTAATTCCAATGATTATATTTGTTTAAAACTCTTCTTAATGACTAATATCTTTAATGATCTCAAATAATTATAATACAATACATATCTAAGATTTGTTTTAACAATTAATAACGTATACACCCTATAAATATGAGTAAAAATATAATTATTTGAATTTAAAACTTTTATTCTTAAATGAGTTTTTTTCTTCTTTGTTAAATAAATAAATTGGAAGAAGTGTCGGTGGGCGTAATAGGGTAGGGGATTGTAGGTCCCTAAGCACGTGGATCTATGGATGGTCCAGTCTTCGCTGGCGTTCGGACACGTACGTGGTTGTGTAGTAATAAGCTGAAAAAGTAGAGAAAGTTGTCGCCTTTTTGTTGTTGTTTTCTTGCGTTTGAGTTTTCGGTCTAAGATCTCCTGGTTCCGTATCTATTATTTTGGAATCTACTCACAAATGAAGAGAGAACTATTTCGCTACACCATAATTTTTTATAAGATTTAAAAGTTAAAATCTTACTAAATATATTAATTTTATTCTATATCAGTTTTTAAATTATAACTTATATTATATATTAATTTTAAAATGTTTTATATCAATTTTAAAACTATTAATGTTGTTGTATTTTGATTCTTTCTTCATTACATTCAATAGCTTTTGTAGATCATAAGAATTGAACACTTGATCTCGTAAAAGAATTAATATATTTTTGAAAGATCCATGAATTGAATATGTGATCTTGTAAGAGTTAACGACACATTAATGGAATGAACAAAATGAAGTGATACTGATAATCTAAAGAATGATATAAAACATTTTAGAATTTAAGAATTTGCTTAGGATGATAATCTAAAGAATGATATTAGAATATTTTAAAATTTAAGATTAATTTTAAAATAAGATCATAGGTTGAGGACATTTTGTGCAATTAACTATATTATTGAAAATTAAAAAATAAAATTATGAATAAAAAGTAAATATAAAATAATACTAATAAACTCAAAATAAGACATTAATACATAACAATATTAGTCTGTATAGGTACCAAAACAAAAAGGGTATTATGTATATTGATATTGACAACCTTGCTTGTTTGGAAGCAAAGCAAAAGCACCTAGAATTGTCTTTTTGGGGTATTATTTTAACTTCCAGGACCTCAATCCTACTGTAGAATCCTAGTTATTATCAAATTTCTGATATATTTTTATGGTAAATATTGTCGTTTTGGGGTATGTTTATTTGTTTTCCCTTTTTTAATCGATATTTTTATGATAAGAACAGTCTGGATAGTTTGTGCTTGTGACATGCGAACATGGGGGAGCGTCTGGTGGGTTAATCTGACAAGTTTTATCTCAATAAAGAGAAGTTTAAAATCAATAAAAATGGATCCGAAAATGAGCCCAAAAAAAAAAAAACAAGAGACTTGTATTTATGGTATCTTTGTCTCGTCTTGTAAAGTGGTGAACCTTCAACCAGTCATTATCCATGGTGGACTAACCCACAATTCTATAAATAATTTACAGTGAATGCTGATGAGTGCTTGATGACAAGAATGCAAGAAATGTCATTGGATTACCATTTCACTGTGGAGCAAGAAGTGGGGTCTTCCACTTATGCATTCTTTGGCTTTAATGGTAATTGAAAAAAAACACCCTGTGATTAGAATTTATTATAGATGAAATGGGATTAAAGATTTTTTTTTTTTATAAATAAACTTGCTTAGGAACTGCTGGAGTGTGGAGAATTGCTGCTTTGAATGAAGCCGGAGGGTGGAAAGATCGAACTACGGTCGAGGATATGGATTTGGCCGTCCGAGCTAGTCTCAAAGGCTGGAAATTCCTCTACCTCGGAAGCCTAAAGGTATTGTCATCCGGTAATCCATGGCATATTCATGTATTTGTGTTGTGTGCTAACAATTTTTCTGATATAGGTAAAAAATGAATTGCCGAGTACCTTGAAAGCTTACCGATATCAACAGCACCGATGGTCTTGCGGTCCAGCTAACCTATTCAGGAAAATGGTCCTAGAGATCATCAAAAACAAGGTTAGCTCAACGTAAACCAATTCAGAAAACAAGTAATAAACACTAGAAATTTGTTGAATCGGTGTTTGATTTTTTGTAAAATATTGATTGCAGAAAGTTTCGACATGGAAGAAAGTACATGTAATTTACAGCTTCTTTGTGGTTAGAAAACTCGTTGCCCACATTGTTACATTCTGTTTTTACTGCGTTGTTCTACCCGCAACTGTACTTGTCCCTGAAGTTGAAGTTCCAAAGTGGGGAGCTGTTTATATTCCTTCTATAATTACCCTTCTCAATGCTGTTGGAACTCCAAGGTATTTTTTGTAACTCCAATCTTCTACTTTGGTCGATTTCATCACTCTTTGGTAACCTGAAATTGAACTTCGAGTTCATCGTTCAAAAGGGTTCTTGTCGAACTTCAATACTTGTAATCAATGGAAAATGCTTATTCATAGCTAACAGTTGGTTCTTTCAGGTCTCTTCACTTACTGGTTTTCTGGATCCTCTTCGAAAATGTCATGTCATTGCATCGAACAAAGGCTACCTTCATTGGTCTGTTGGAGGCTGGTAGAGTAAATGAATGGATTGTTACTGAGAAACTCGGAGATGCTCTCAAGGCTAAGGCAGCCGTAAAAGCACCCCAAAAACCTCGTTTCAGGTTCGGAGAAAGGTAAGGGCAGTCTGCTATCACAACGTTTTCATTCAATGTTTTCTCGTTTAACACTTGAATGTTGGCAGACTCCATGTCTTAGAGCTTCTCGTCGGAGCTTACCTATTCTTCTGCGGCTGCTATGATGTCTTGTTTGGTAAAAACCATTACTTCATATACCTTTATGCACAAGCAATCGCCTTCTTCATCATGGGATTCGGATATGTTGGCACCATCATCCCCAACTCATACTACAACTTCCTAAGGTAGTACGATAGTAGCTGTTGTCGGTGTAATTCTTTTGGCTACTAACGCCATCAGCAGGCCGTACTCTACTTCAGCTACTGAATATGTGGTGATTAGCAACATTTTCTTGCAATTAAAGAATAAAGGGATATTCTTTGAGTGTTAGAAATGGAGTTGATAACTCAAAAATAGTTGTCCTTGTGAATATGGAAGAAATTAAGGAAAAATACAGAACAGATGTTGTAATGGTATGCACCATCATACAGAGAATATAGGTAGCTAATGAAGGCTGGTTCCGGGTTTATATAGGGAAGGTTTTGGAATGAATTGTTTGCACATTTTTTGCACTTCTTTTCCCATTCTGTCGTGGTTGGGATTTGTTTGAGACAATAATAAAACAATGGGAAAGCTTAATTTTCACAGTCGATTCTTCCCCATTGATCCTTGTGTGTTTTACCAATCAATCTTTGCCAAAATAACTTTTTCTTTCATGATCTAAATTCAGATAGCACAGATATTCAAAGAAAACATCATTCATAACTCTCCATTGCATAAGAAAATTCTCAGAGCCTGATCAAATTTTTATTACTAAAGTTAACAAGAAAGAAAGAAAACTACCCAACAAAAGAGTTGCCGTTGTCTTGAAAATCAAAGCACTTTGAGAATGTCTTCAGCTCCACTGAAAGTAAAAGCACCTCCTTCTTCCAAGTTAAGAAGTTTAACGATTCCATCTTCAGCCAAGAGCGCGTACCTTCTTGATCGAACTCCAAGTCCAACGGGCTTATCGCTCAAATCCATTTCGCACCCAATTTTCTTGGTGAATTTCCCATTCCCATCCGACAACAAAAGAACCTCATCGTTGATACCCAGATTCTCCTTCCAAGCCTTCATCACAAAAGCGTCGTTGACAGAGATACAGGCGATGGTGTCGAACCCTTTGGCCTTCAGTTCCCCTGATTTCTCCACGAACCCAGGGAGGTGTTTCTGGGAGCACGTGGGGGTGAAAGCACCGGGGACGGCGAAGAGGACGGCTTTTCTGCCGGCGGTAAGGGAGGAGATGGTGGTAGTTTGGAGTTCATCATCGGAGTCGAGGTAGGAGAGGGTGGCGTCGGGAAGCTTCTCTCCGACGGAGATAGCGGCGTAGATTGGGGTTGTCTTGGTTGAAAAGGAAATGGGTTTGGAAGGGCGGCGGTGGAGGTTGAGTGAAAGGGGAGAAATGGAGAGGTTTGAGGAGAGGGATTTAGAGGTAAGTCCGGTGGTGGCGTTGGGGAACGAAATGGCGGCGGGTGATGAAAGGATTCTTGAGATGCCATTGTTGATGGAAATGTTGAAGTGGAGAGAGCAATTTGGCCTTTTGAGGGATTTGTTGGGATTACGCTTGGTTAAATTACACAAATGGTTATTAAATTATGTTAAAATAATATTTTTGTCACTAAATATTTAAATATTATACCATAAGCATTCAACTTTTAATTTTATTATACCAAAAGATTAGAAATACACTACCTTAATGTTAGAATCCCAAAATTGAGCTCATTGCTTAGCCACTCCTTCCCTTGGTGATTTGGATGAAAATCCCCCATTTTTCTTTAGCTAGGATTAAACCAAGACTTTGATTCTTTAAAACTATGTTGCAATGGGGATTAAGAACGAAAACGAAACAAGAAAAAGGTTCAAGACCTTACCTTGGAGCTATGGCTACTTAGAGAAGATAAAAGAAGAATAAATGTAGAAGAAGAAATGAAGAGAAGAGAAATAAGATTAGGCCTGTAAATGAACTGAACGTTCAACGAACCGTTCATAAACCGCGCGGCGGGGAAGTTCGTTTATTTATTAAATGAACGAACATGAACAAAATTTTGCGTTCGTTTAATTAAATGAACGAACATGAACAAAGGGCTCGTTCGTTCATTTACGTTCGTGAACGTTTGATTATATGTTCGTTCATTTATATTCGAACAGAGGGCAAGTAGAATATGTTACGAAGATTATTGAAGTTGTTTGGATTTCAAGAAGATTGTTTTGTTGAACAAATTAACTTTAAGACTTTATTATGTTCATATAGCTTATTTATGATTTATGTATGTTTTTTCGTATTCGAACAAATTAACTCTAAAGTTCAAGTTATATTAATGAATTTTAAGTTGTTATTCTTGTTGTTTACTTTTTTTTTACATTTGTTTGTTGTGTTTGAATAAGTGTTTTTTTGTGTTTGTGTTGTTCGTTTATCTTCGTTTATTGTGTTCGTTTATGTTCGTTCGTTCGTGTTCGTTTATGTTTTAAATGAACGAACATGAACAAGCTATATTCCTTAATGAACAAACATGAACAAAAAAAAATTTGTTCGTTTATGTTCGTGTTCGTTTATATTCTTTTATTTATTAAATGAACGAACATAAACATACCTCCGTTCGTGTGCGTTCAGCTCGTTTACATGCCTACATAAGATGAGATATAAAACCCTCATCTTTGCAAAATAGAGAAATTGCACAATTAATCATTCTTTGTTTTTCTACAATTTAAAATCATTTTTATGGCTAATTGGGCCCAAATATAAGCCCAATTAAGCCCAATCAATTGTATTAAGATTACTCTAATACATTATCCATTGTGACACACAAACCGAAAAGCCAAACACTCTGCTAAAGTAATAGGAAAATAAAAAAATAAAAAAATTGTACCACAAAGGCATACAAAGAAAACTTTCATAAGAATAGGTTTATTTGAAAACATTTTGTAAGTAGATAATTAAATGTTGAGTCATAAACGGTTTAAATTCTCTAAATTTACTTGCTTTATAATTAGGAATCTCAGTGGAACAAATTTTAGATGATTTGTCCAATTTCACATTTAATTTAATTAGATGGAGATCGATATAAATTTCGTAATTAATGAGATAAAATTTAAACCTATCATAAATAATAAGGCAAACATAAATATATTATTACATCCGTCGGCCCAATTAAAATTATTATTTATAATTTTAACTCAATTTAGTCTTAAATCTATTAATTAACCTCAATAATTAAAGAGAATTTTATTTTCTCTTGAAGTCTTAGATTTGAATAATTGTTTTTATAGAATATGTGCACATTGTTAATAATTAATGTGCACATTGTTAATAATAAAAAAAATCATGAACTTATACTATATTATAATTATTTCAAATTATTAAAAAACTCAATTTATGCTCATAGCGATAGTTAAATTAGATTCAAAATTTATTTTTCGAATCATGGATAGGGGTATTCAAATGGGTAATTCAGTTAACCAACCGAACCGACTTATCCAAATTTTATTAACTGATTTTTTTCCTTTAATCGTTAACCGAACTGATTTTTTTTTAAATTATCTGAACCGAATTAAGTTTGGTTAATTAATTGGTTAACCCAAATAACTGAAATTTATGAATAATATAGAAATAATATATATTAAATATTTTTGGTTTATTTGGTTAATTCGGTTAGTTAAAACCAAGTTTAAACACCCCCAAAGCTAAATAATATATATAATATTACGGAAGACAGCTATCGGATAGAGCAAAATCGTAACTGATAATTTGAGAAAATAAAAATGAAGATAAAGAAGACATAAATTTTACGTGAAAAAACCCCTAAATAATATAGGGTAAAAACCACGGGCAAAAGTAGAAGAATTTTACTATGAGAAAATAGGAATTACAACTTCTCTCGATCTACCAAGGAAAAAACAATGATAATTCTCTCTTGATAAAAAGGAGAAAACAACTCTCAAGAAAATTCTCTAAACACTCTAACATTGGGAGAAAGCTAGAATGATTTGGGATGATTTTGAAGCTAAATGGGTTAGGGTATTTATAGTTGAAGCTTAAGAACTAATATTGTAAATACCCTAAAGTGCAAGGACTAAATTTGAATTTTCTCATACACAAAAAAATCAATAATTTCCAGCTACTTTTCTGTGCATTAATTGTTTTGCACTTTCAGTTCTTTTCCACCAAAAATCTCATACAATTGTTGAAAGTGGCCAAGTTAGCCACTTGGCCAAACTTTTGACTTTTCAACAATCTCCCACTTGAAGATTTGATTGGAACAATCATATCTTCACACCATTCTTTCTACCTTCTACCTTTATGTTGCTTACGTTTCTGTTGAACTATGTTTTGATATAACAATTTAAGGCAAAATGGTTTTTGGACTTGAATTGAATTTACAAAATGTTTTTGGACTTAATTGAATTTATTCAAAGTTTTAAAAGGTTTCAAAAATAATTCAAAGTCCATTAAATTCGGATTTGAGCAAAAATGCTAAAGAGTGTCAAAGTGCATCCATGCACCCCTGCAGTGCATCCATGCACATGCACTAGTGCATCGATGTACCATGCAGTGCATCCATGCACTGAAACACCGAATGCAATTAGTGCATCGATGCATCCTTCTGTGCATCGATGCATCAAGGCTGTGCATCGATGCATTCTGCTGTGCATCCATGCACGAAGGCTGCAACGGCTAGTTTATTTGAATTTAATGAAAGGGTATCGATGCACCATGATAGTGCACTGATGCACCATGTTATGGGCAGCCTTTTTGAGTAGAAAAATCATCCACAAACGGCTCCAAAACATCTCCAACGACTATATACAACATCAAACACATTCCAAGCTATAAATACAAGCTAAGGACACTTGAAGAAAAGAGAGAACAACTATCCAAGCAATCAAACACAAGAGAAGAGTTTTTCAATCTTATTTCATATTTCTCTTGTAAATATTTTGTTCTTGTGAGCTCAATCTTGTAAACACCTACCTTAGAGAGGTTTTCTTGTTTACTTATTTTATCCTTTTGTAAAGGGGAAATGTTTTAGCTTATCCCGTGTAAAAGCTAGGGAAAGGTTCTAGTTTAGCCCGAAAAAACTAAGGAGTTTGTAAGGTTACTTTTTGTCCTCAAAAGAAAGAACAAATTAGTGAATTTGTTGGAAAATCCTTGGTGAGGAGCTAAGGTAGTGGATGTAGACTTGGTTGAGAAGTCGAACCACTCTAAATCGCTGTGCAATTCTCTATCTTTTAATCTCCTTACTCCCTAAACACAAAAACTGATCCCAACCCTCTTTGCAAGCAATTCCGGTTATCCATTCGAGCTTCCAAAAATCCCAACAATTGGCATCAGAGCCTAAATCGTTAAGAAGGTTTAACCACCTTGAGACGATCCTCAAAGAAGCTCTACCAATTCCTGACACAACTGAGAAGATGGCTTCCACCTCCGGCTCGTTCCACATGGAAGACTCCCTACCAACGGACAAGCCTCTCTACTTCAATGGAGTCAACTATAGTCATTGGAAGAAATTAATGAAGGTATTCATCCAATCCAATGATCTTTATGCATGAGAGATAATCGAGAACGGCTACTCTTCTCCAAAGAAGAAGGAGAAGAAGCGGAGTGACAAAGAACGGAAGAAAGCTCAACTTAATGCCAATACCATGCATATGGTGTTGTGTGCATTTGGTCTTGAAATCTACGAATGAGTTTCTTCATGTTCAAGTGCTAAGGAGCTTTGGAATAAGCTCGAGGAAATCCATGGAAGCAAGAAAGAAGAACCAACAAAGGTGGTGTCTCTAATGGCTCGTGAAGAGCCCGATGTATCTTCTAACTCAATTGAATTTAATTCATATACGTTTGATGAGTTACAAGATGCTTTTAATAGGTTATATTCGGAGTTTGAGACCATGAACTCCAAATATAAGAAAATAATTTCAAAATTTAAAATCGAAAATGATTTTCTTTTGAAAACAAAAATAGATTTTGAAAGCCAAAATGAAATTTTGAAAAAGGATTTAGAGCTTTCAAAAATAAAAATTGAAAGTTTTGAAAAAGAAAATTTTGATTTAAAAGTTAAACTTGAATGCTTAATAAAAGAAAAAGAAATCATTTTAAATAATTCATTTAGTTCAATAATGCAATAATGACAATATGCTCTCATTGTCATTATCATGGTCACAAGGAATATACTTGTCCTTTGAAGAAAGGAAAACGTTTTAAAATTAGGCAAGTGTGGGTTCCGAAAGGAACAATGGGCATTGAAACTAACGTTCAAGGATCCAAAGCAATTTGGATACCAAAATATACTTAAATGTCCCTTGTAGGTGTGTGAGAGCAATGGTGATGAAAGTGATGATATTCAAGATGCTCTAGCCACACATGAAAAAGGAATGGGTAACCTCTAAGCTTAATGTTTTAATTTTGGTTATTTGGTTGTTCATTTGATTTTAAGCATGCATGAGTTGTGATAATAAATGATTATGTTTTGTTTAAATCTCATGTATATTGAAAACAATTGGTATGATGAATAATTTTAAAGTTTTAATAATTTTTCAGAATTTTTAGTTCATCATAATAAAATTTTGACCTAAATTTGAATGTTTATGCATGTGGTTTAAATGAAAATGATATCTCTCTAACAATTGATATCAAAATTTTCAAAATGCATAACATTTTTTGGAAAACTTTATGCATATGCACTTAATTTTAACAAATGGTATTGATATCAAATTTCAACAATTGGTATTGCATAAAGTATTTTAGTCTTGGATATATTGAATTTCATGTGCT